GTAGTTTGTCACTCTTTCTTCCTAGTCTGTCTTTGTTTTGTAGCTCATCTGAAACCTTTCCACCATGGGTGATCCTGCTGGTTATTTAAAACACTGGTGGCATAGCCCTCAGAATCACAGCAACTCAAACCACCACAGCACGACAGACAAACTAGGAAGACTCAAAAACACATGTGAACTACTAGAAAAAAGAATCACTGAACTTTAGACCGTTAGACTATGTCTTCCAAAGAACTGACAGAAAAGGAATCAAGGAAAATAAAGCTGAGTCAACAGATATGATGGGAGTTGAAAAGAAGAAAAGAGAGAAAGAGGAAATGAAAAAAGGAATTTGAAGAAATAATCACTGAAGATATATTGAATTTATGTCAGTCTACATATTTAGAAGGAGTCCTGGTGTGGCACTGTAGGATAAGCACTGGACTGCTAACCAAAAAGTATGCTGTTCAAACCCATTAGCTTCTCCTTGGAAACCCTATACAGGGTCACCATGAGTCAGAACTGACTTGATGACACTTAACAACAAACCCTTCCCTGAAGAATTCTGTAGTCTTCCATTTACACCACGTCAAAACGACTGGGCATCCTCAAGGCATATAAATTTTAATGTTTTTAAATGTTTTAAATGTTTCTTGAATTTGGGGAATGGTCTGAAGGGACACGATCAGTAATGGGAGGCGGATGGGGTAAGGTTGTCCAAGGAAATCTTGTAGCACAGTCATTGCTACTCTCAAAGAATTTGTTTGCAGGTACGTTGTCATGATGGAAAAAAAAAAAATCCTTGGTGCCACTTTCCTGCCATTTTGCCACCAATGCAGTTTTCAATTTTCTTAAAATTCCATTTCAAGTACCTGATGGTCCTGTGTCGCCTAAGGAAAATCTATCAAGATTACTCCTTTGGAATTCCAAAAAAGCAGTTGTCATAACCTTCTGTGCTGACCTCTTTGCCTTGAATTCATCTTGGATATATTTCCAACCTTCCTTAAAATGCTTAAACCATGTAAAAACTTCTTTTGTGTGAGACAGTATTCCTATAACTAGTTGCGAAGCTTCAATGATTTGGGAAGATGTTCCCTTGAGTTTTGTTAAAAATGTTGTATCCGTCCTCCAAGGCAACTAATTGTTTTGGTCTTTCTAAGCCTATTGTTCCTTTCTGTGATATACTGTAAACCCAAGTCTTAAGCCTGTGATTATGGACTCATTTTGAAGTGAGTTGTTAATAAGGTTGGATTACAGTGGAAATCCTGGTATAGCACTGTAGGATTAGCAGTGGAATGCTAAACACATGGTTGGCGGTTCAAACCCAGCAGTTGCTTCTTGGAAACTCTATTACAGGGTTGCTATGAGTCAGAAGCGACACAAAGGCACTTAACAATAACAACAAAGGGGTGAGGGTGGCACTAAGGATTAAGGATGCTCCCACTTTACGAGAGAGTGTGACTTGGGTGACCACCCTTGATTTTCCTTGGGGACATGGTCTGAGTCCAATACATAGGAATACTTTGGCAAAGTTTGCTATTTTGCTCTTGAGCTTGCATCTGGCTCATCATGTGTGACCTCAGTTTGTGGACTTGTGGCCTATCACCTGACCTGATTCATCAGCTCCAGCAGCTTGTGGCCTATCTTCTGACCTGCAGATTTGGGTTCCTCAGTTCTTGAGACTATGTGGGTTAGGAGAATCTTCTAGACTGACCTCTGAACTATGGGTTTGGGATTTCCAGTCTCTATAACCACACCAGCTGTAAGTTCCATGAGACTTTGCATCCATTGCAGAATCCTGGGACGTGAGGGTGGGGAAGAGTAGTACTTGACATCAAGGATTATGTTGGAAAAGTCAGACATTTAAGCTATCTTTAACCTCCACCTAATAGCCTTGTACTCTTCTTTCTAAAAGAAAGACTTCAGAATCATTTGTTTCCCATGGCATAAAAGTATCCACTTTTTAAAGTCATCCTTTCGATATAAAGGTAAGTGTATTAGTGACCTTGACTGCAACCATGTGGCACTGTGAACTAATGTGCTAGACTGCAAAATCGATTTGAATCACAAGGTTAGCAGTTCAAGCTCACCAGCCACTCCTCGGAAACTCTATACAGGTTTGCTATGAGTCAGAACCGACTTGACAACACTTAACAACAAACAACAATGATCCACTGATTGCAGAGACATGTTTAACCACATTTTGCTTGGAATAAACCCATGCATACATGCTGGAACCCTGGTAGTAATATTTTTTTACTTACATTGTCAAGATGGCAAATAAGCAAGTGGAAAAGATCCAATATTATTCTTGACTAAGGAAACGCAATGTGAAGTTATAAGATTGGATTACTAAGAGAAACTGGAGTGACTGGAACTCTCATCCATTATTGGTGCAATACAAAATGTACAGCCAATATGGAAAAGAATTTGGCAGTTTCTTCTGAAGCTAAATATACACTTAACATATGACCATCAATCAATCCTACTTCTAGCTATTTATTCTAAAGAAATGAAAACACCTCATCACACAAAAGAACTGTACATGAATGTTTACAGCAACATTATTTGCAAATCACCAAAGCCTGCAAACAACCTAAATGTTCTTCAGTGGGTAAATAGATACACAAACTGAATCCATGGTACATTCATACTACTCAGCAATAAAAAGGGAACAACAATAGGTCAAGTACTCACTTGGATGAATCTCAAATGCATTATGCTAAGTACAAAAAAACAGTCTCAAACAGTAACAAAGGGAATGTTTTCATTCCCTTTAAAAGACATTGTGGAAAAGGCAAAACTACAGAACAGCAACTAATTAGTCAGTGTTGCCAGGATTTAAGGGTATGGGAGAGTTTGAATAGAAAGGGGCAACACAAGACAAGGATTTTCATCCTGGAGAATTGGGTAGCCACTGAAGGTTATGTACAGGACAGCTGTCCCTTTGACACCAGTGAAAAAGATACATAAGGACAAGCCTGGACACAGACAAGTTGAGAGTACATTAGTAGTCATTAAGATGAGGCATGAAGGTGGCCTCAAGAAGACAGAGCAGATGGTGATGAAATGATAGAGATTTGTGATGTATAGGATAATGAATCAACAGGATGGCATCTTGAGTGGCACTGAAGTATGAAACAGAGTGAAGGAGGACTCGGGTTACATGTGTACTGGATGGCTCATTGATTCTGGTGCAATTCACACAGACACAGAATACAGGAAGACCGTTTCTGAGGTAGAGGTAAGGGGAAGTCTATCAGTGATGTTTCTTGATTTTTGTATGTCCCACAATAAAAGAATCAGCACTTATTTAACTGTTTTTTACCAGGAAGCAATAGCCCTAAAATTACAATGCATGATATTTAAATTTCCAAAAACGAAACATAAAACCCTCCATGCACAAAAACAAATGCAATACAAACCTAAGTTTCTTGATAGGCTTTCTCTCTGTGCAATTCCGAACTTCATTTTATTTAAGACTTTCATCATCTCTTGGCGATTATCTTCAGTTTTGTTTTTCAAACGTTGCATATTTTCCTTAAACTCCAAAATATGGCTTTTACAATTAATTAACTGATTACCTGTAAAGAAAACATATATACATAAGGATATGCTTTTACCTGTAACAATGATATCATACAATTTTCTATAATACATGGCGAACTGTAAAATACAGCTTCTAGGAACTCTGGTAAGGAGCTCTGGTAGCATAGTGGTTACAAATCGGGCTGTGAACCTCAGAGTCAGAAGTTCGAAACTACCTGCTGTTCCATGGGAGAAAGATGAGGCTTTCTGCTCCGGTAAAGATTTACAGCCTCGGAAACCCTGTACAGGGTCGCTATGAATCAGAACGGACTCCACGGCACATAACAACAACAGGAACTCTGGTGGCGTTGTGGGTTACGAGTTGGTTTGCTAACCGCAAGGTCAGCAGTTTGAATCTACAAGCTTCTCCACGGGCGAAGGATGACATGGCTTACTACTCCTACAATGATTTACAGCCTCGGAAACCCTTTAGAGGGTTACTATGAGTCAGAACTGACTCCACATAACCATACCACCACCAAAATATAACCTCGGGATGGCTAATACTCATATTTGTTGTTCAGTACCGACTCATAGCTACCTTATGCACAACAGAATGAAACACTGCCAGGTCTTGCCCTATATAAGTAGCTGTTGTTGTTTTTAAGTGCCGTTGAGTCGGATCGGACTCTTAATGAGCCTGTATAGGGTTTCCAAGGAGTGGCTGGTGGGTTTGAATCTCCAACCTTGCGGTTAACAGTCCAGTGCTTATCCTACTGCCAAGTGCTTCGTGTCAATGGAAATATAAAAATGAAAAACATATGGTTGGGTTCTGCTTTCAAGAAGTTTATAGACTAATTGGCGATGGTGGTTGTCAGACCCAACTCATGAGGATCCCATACACAAAGAACGAAACACTGCCTGGCACTGGACTATCCCTGAGAACGTTGGTATGTTTGATGCTATTGGCTACTTGATAGAACTAATTTAATGGATAATTTTATTTATTTTTATTTTACTTTTTATTGTATATTGAGTGAAGGTTTATTGAGCAGATCATCAGTTTTGCATTCATCAAATCATATACTTTGTTTCACTACAATGGTTCAGTCCCTTCCATGCATCAACAGTTGACAATATTTACCTCTATTCACTGTAACTACTGCCTTCCTCCCTGTGTCTTCTGCTGGCTACATCTTTCCTCTGCTAACATCCCTCTTGTATATTGCCAGCCCTGTCACCCATGTTAATATGTGTCTACCCTCTGGCCCATGAACAATTTTTCCTTTCACTTATCCCTCCTCAATTCCATAATCATCATAGATTGTTTCTTGTATCAAGAAAACCTTTTCTTAACTTATTAAAACAATGGTCTGCACTGAGTTCATTTTAATTGTGGATTTTCTTTGCATTTCAATTCTGTTGTGTTGATGTGTACTAAATCTTCCTATTTTCCTCTTTTTTTTTTTTTTTGAAGTGCAAGCGTATTCATTTTCTTTAAGGTTATCTTGTAATCTATTAATATTTTTCCCTATTTAAAACAGCCTGTTGTATTTTTAAATCTACTTGAATTCCTTGCTTTTTGAAAGTTCTGTATCTGTACTTCATTATAAATTGATATCTCTGGTTCAAGTCTTGTTGGCTTACTTACTTTTAATATTCTATATGGAGACCTGGTATGTTGTTGTGGGATAAGCACTGGACTTCGAACCACAAGGTCAGTGGTTTAGATCCATCAGTCACTCCTTAGAAAAGATTCAGTCGCGCTATCACACTTAACAACAACAACAACAACAACAACACTGGCTAGTAAATGGTAATGATATACACAGAAAAGACAAGTCTAGACAAGTTGAAAGGGGAGAGGAGGGAAAGGATTCAGAAGATGTGATGATTGAGCAGGCTCTTTGAAGCATTTTAGGAGCACCAAGGAATGAGAGGAAATGCATTCAAGTCCTACAGAGGCAAAGGAAAGAAACCAGTTGCCATGGAGTTAATGCCAACTCATGGTAACTCTATTGATGTTAGAGTGAAAATGAGCTCCATGGGTTTTCAGTGACTGTGATCTTTCAGAAGTAGATCACCAGGCCTTTCTTCCAAAGAGCCCCTTGGTGAATTCAAATTGCCAACATTTTGGTTGGTTGTTGTTGTTGTTAGGTTCCATCGAGGCAGTACTGACTCGCAGTGACCATATGCACAGCAGAATGAAACACTGCCCGATCCTGGGCCAACCTCAC